TTTAAGCTAAAAGAGGAGAGTAAAGGAAGAGACAGAATGACAGGAGAAGGACAAAAAGGGAAGAACAGAAAAATGACAGAAGGAGTTGCTTTCAGAAAAAGAGAAAGCAAGGAAAATGTGGAAGGCAAAGGGAGGAGAAAACGGATGTCGGGGAACAGCAAACAAAAAAAAGAGAAGGAAGGTGTTGAAAGTGCAGGGAGAGGTATGTTGGAGGAAAGAGGAGGAAGAAATGAAAGGAAGAAGAGAGGATTAACAGAAACAAGATAATAAGATTGAAAGAGATGAAGAGGTACCAGCAGTGTGAGAAGGTAAGCAGAGAGGTGGTCGTGGATGGAAGAGGAGAGGAAGAGGAAGAGGAGAAGAGTGACATGGTGGTATGAAAACTAAAACCTAATGAGGATAAAAACAGGAGACGTGTTATTCTCTACACTGTAAGTTAGCAGGAACATCTTAAACAGTATAAAAACATAAAATATTATAAGTCATTCGTATAAAAATACTAACTACAATGGCAGTATTTGTGTAGGACTGTTGTTGTTATGAGTTAAGGATTCTGGTCTTGTTTTGGTTCCATTTGGTGTGTTCTATTGATCCTGTTTAAGTCTGTTTTTGGTTCTGTGTTTCTCTGTGTAGCCTTGTTTATTATTTTATTCATTTGCATGTTTAAGTTTACTTAGTATCTGTCTTGTCTCATCTTTGGTCTTAGTCCTGCATTTTAGTTCTTTGCCTCAGTTCTTAGTCCAGTGCCTTAGTTCACATGTTAGTGTTTACTCCTGATCCCAGTTCAGTCTGTTTCCCCAGATGGTTGTAGGTTATTTGTATAACTGGTGATCCGTCTGCTTGTGTTTGGGATTAGTTTATTTATATTCTGATCTGTTCTGTCTAATTTGGATATCATCAGTGCCTGCCTTATTTCTTGTTTAATTATTTTTCTACCGGGGTATTGTTTTTTCCCTATTGTCATGATTGGTTTCTGTCTGATATGTTCCCTGCCAGTTTCATTTATTCATTTGGTTATGATCACTCTGTGTTAGCCTGTTCTGTTCTGTTCAGCTTTCTTAGTCTGTTCGATCTTGTGGAGTTGCCCGTATTCCTCAGTTACTTGGTCTGCCTTCTCTGTTCTGGGTTTTGAGTTCCAGTTAGAGTCTTGTCTTGTGTTTTGCAACCTTGTGTCTTTCTGTTTTTTATGCTTGCTTGTTTCCTTCAGTCTTTATCCAGTCATTGTTGTAGTGGTTGAAGCCTACTCTGTCTCATCCTGTTTCCTGCCTGTTCCCTGCCTGTTCCCTGTTTGTTCCTTGGATTTTGGATTGTACATGTTGCTGGATTTTCTGTTGGATACCCTTGTTTGCTTTGACTGTGTTTATTTTGGATTCCCTGGACTCAGCCACTCATTATAAGTGTGCTTGTCTTCAGTTCGTGAATAAACATTTTGAACTAATCCAACTCAGTGTTCTGCATTTGGGTCCTCCAACCTGCTCTACCCTACACCTGTTGTGACAGTTGTGTACTACTAGTTTTGTCATTCAATTATACAATTGTGTTCATTACCATAAATTACCCATCCACATTTCTGTAGCCTTTCTAAAATGTAAAAAAATTTAGAGTAATGTAGATATTATCATTTCTGACAACATACCGCTTAACAACTTTAAGATAAGAACTTCATTTATCCCAAGGGAAATTGTTGTGCAGCAGTTGCAGTACAAAGTAGGAAAGAGCAAACATATAGAGTGCAGGGGAAAAAAACAGCAGCTGCCGCTGGAATGAATGAATAGAATAACTGGTGCTAGTATCTGCATCTGAGGAAACTTCATATATCCAATAAGCACCTGCGTATCCAACACACAATCTGAGGAATCAGCATCTATTACCTTGGCGTGTTTATATCAATAGCCACTGAACCTCACTGTGCACTGACCACTGCAGCAGAGGAAACTGTGTGGTGAAGCAACTTTGATGACCATTCACTAACAGGAGAAAAGATCATAAGGTATCACCAGACAACCGTAAAGAGCAGCAGTGACAACAGATATTTTTTACATAACTGCTAGATAATGTTTTGTTCCTGGCTTTTAAAGCAAGTCTATTCTAGAGATCACAACATTGGGGGTCCTTTTTATTTTTATTAACCAATCCTTTTATTGGGGAGTTCCTCACATTGTGCAAAGAACTCAACTTGCGAGAAACATAAATCTCATCTTTAATGGACCACTCTGGATTCAAAAACAAACAATTGTTGTAACCAATCCCCATCTCTCCCTCACTTCTGTCTGTAATGAGCTGTAATATAAATAAACTGTGTGACCAGTGATTCCCATTACAACTCAAAGACAAGACTTGTCCCTGTCTGTGCCCTTGCAATGTGCCTCCACTGAAAACATATAACACTGTATGCAGTCATTTAGTAAATTTTCTTCTGTAACAGAGTTGGGACCAGTTCACAATGCTATCAATCACTTCATGGATCATTTGTCAGTCTGAGGCTGCATTATTGAGCCCTACAGGCTCCAATGTTTATTACACAGCCCACAGTATCCACTCCTTAAAGGTTCTCTGTGGAGTTTCAGCCCTTTAGTGACACCATGGAGCCGTTTTTTTCTATGACACGGATGCAACACACAGTCATACCACGGGCATCACACTATTTTAGTGATTGTTATAGATATCTTGCTCTGGACCAGTGTTGGGTGGAAACACAGACAGAGCATCATTGCTGAGACAAAACTGAGAAAAAAAACAGTGCCTTTGTTATTCAACAGCAGATTTTAATAGTGCGACTATAAAGAAGTTTTAGATGTCACATATAGTTTCATTCATGTCTGAAAGTTATTCCAATTTCCTGAACTGATTGAATTAAGAATGAACTGACCCCAACATTAATCTCATCACACAGTTTAAGACTTTTGGTCCTCAGCTACACACCACATACAGTACAAAGAATGCAATGGTAGTTAACTGTACACAGGACCGTGCAAAGACTACAGTGATTGTCAGAGGTAAATTCATTTTAAACAAGGCACCAATACATCCAAATGAGACTTTATATCAAAAATACACTAATCAACATTCTGAGAGCTACATTATGTTAAACACACGCACGTGTCTGAATGTACAGCTAGTGTTACCAGGGGATTCAGATTAGGGGTGTCACAATAAACTGGTTTTCTTGAAAAACAATGATGTGTTATTTAGTCCAAGTACAACTAACGTTTTCGAGCAACTTGCTTGAATTTGTCTACTAAAATCAATCGTTCACGCATTACTGAAAGCAAATGTGGAGTCAGGGTAGTTAGAAGAAACATCTAACCTCAGAACAACTCTCTTCAGCCATGATCCTGCTGCATTCCAACTGAGAATAAGCTGTTATCCTCATTGATGCATCCATCCACTTTGTATTACATTAGTTTAGCAAAACAGTCTTCGATAAAATATCAAAGTGATAAGTCAAGAGAGACTTTTATAGGTGAGATTAGATTTTATTAATGACGTAAGGTGAATTTTTTGGTTTGCAATGATGTAGCCCTGCTTTCAATATTATTGTTTAATTCAGTTGTGGAGGTGAGCATGGTTTGCATTCAGCTGCAGTCGGGGGAGGGAGAGGGAGGGGTAGGTGGCTCAGGTGAGCAGAGCCCGGGAGAGCAAATTGTCACAGCTGCTGTTCATTCACTAATTAAGCTCTCCCTCTAAATGCAGTAGTGTGCGGGACCTCAGTTGCCAGTTGCCTGCTGTGACAAGAAGAACAGCCAGTGAGGCTGTAGCCTATGGGTGAAGATTTGTGTTGGTTGCTGGTGAGGACTGCCCCGAGGGACTGGTGTGGATGAGCTGGGAAGCGCATGGCTGGCCTTGGCAAAGAACTTTATGTTGAGTGTATTTGTGTGCGGTGTGTGAAATAAAGTCACTGGGCTGGGTGAACTCCTGAGTCAGCGCTGTACTGGGGTTATCTGTAGCAAGAGGCTTCTGCTACATCAGAGTTATGTGTTTTATGTCTAAGGACATTACATTATTTTGTTCCACAATAAAAGCTCAATTGAAAATTGTGACAGCCCTAATTCAGTGACAGAGAGCAGAGATTAGGCCAGACTTTTATACCATAGACTCGCAGAACCAGACTTTTGACTACCATCATGTCAAGTCTGGTCCACGATGCTGAGTGTTTAACCAGAAAGATTTCTTATTTGGATTTTGCAGTGAAAATCAAAAAGAATCTAGAGGCCCTGAAGAACTTAACGCACTGTGTGGACCAGACATCAGGCTATGCGAGACTATTTCTCCACACAGAGGAGAACATTAAAAACTCTGGGTGTAGGAGCTAGATAGAAGGAAGTGCTACTGGAGTCCTGCAGACAGAGGATGGGCCGAGGCCTCCTGGGCATGTTGAAGCAGCAGCTGCATGGTGGTCGGCAGGAGTGAAATCCTCTTTTTCTCCCTCCCTCTCTTTCTCTCTCTCTCATTTTGCTGGGTTGCAGAAGGTGAAGATGGAAGAAAGCTGCTGTGCATGGTCAGCCTGACGTCCATCCCTCTTTCTCTGTTCTCTCTCTCCCTCAATGTTTTTCTCTCTCTCTCCTCATGGTAAGCTGAGGTGCAGGCTTGTGAGAGGCCGGTGATTGGCTGGTGTGAGAGTGTTTTGATTGGAGATGGAGAGACGGGAGGCAGAGGAGTCTTGTGTGATGGAGGTCTAACAGTCCAACGTTTTTATGACTAAACTCTTAATCCACAGCCGGAGACTGACCCATAATGAGATCTGGACACAGTTTCACAAATTACTGCAAAAACCAAGACCATTTCCATCTATCGGTGTAACAGGAATCAAGGACGGCTGCAGGGAAATGTGCCACTACAGAGAATTCAGAATAAAAACAGAGTCCTACCTTCCATGTCACAGAATATCCCGTATTGTAAATAGGTAGTGTCACCCCAAACGGTCCAGTGGTCAGTCTGAATTTAGTGTAAATATGAAATAGAGACAGGAGAGAAAGCGAGACAGAAGGAGAGTGTCTTACCTCGTCTGACCAGGTATGGCTTTGTGTAGTCCCAGCTCTCGTTGTCATTCTTAATCACGTTCAGACGTGTTGGCTGTTGACACAAAAATGAAAGAATGAATCAGAATCCAGTCAAATATATCAGTTATACATGACCTGCATTGTTGGTCCACTTCTATTTACTTTATAGATTAATAATAGAATCTGCGTTGTTGCATGAATTGGGATGTATGTATGGTATTATTTTTATGCAGATGAAAATTTTATATCCAACAGGCTCTTTTCTAAAGCCTTGTGCAGACTACACAACTTTCCGCATCTGCAGATCGCCGTGCTGTTCAGACTAGAGACTTGTTGTTTTGTGACGGAGTCTTGCAGTCGTTGTGGCGTTCACACTACATGAGCTGACAGAAGGTCACACACTACATGAGCTGACAGAAGGTCACACACTACATGAGCTGACAAGGACGATGTCACCCGACTACTGGTCAAAAGCGCATTTTGAATGGAAACAATGGTTTAACACACGCAGGTAGCAGGGATTATCTGTGCTGCAGAGAGAGCTGGAGGTGAGTAAAAAGTGTTTTGTGGTGAAAAAAGTAGCCGCCTGCTCTCATTGGCTGGATGTGGATGTCGAGTCGGCAGACTCCTCGATGGATCGCCGATTTGCCCCCAATCACAGCCTGACGGCAACTTACATCTCAGGCTTAAAATCTAGCAGTGTAAAGTTTAGTTTCAAGAACTCTATGCCAAACCCTTCAGAATTCTCAAAATGAAAATTCTGAAAGATATGCAGAAATCTGGATAGATAACAGACCCACTTTTAAGACCCATGTGGAAAGCCTGACCAATTTTTACCAGCAAATTGAATATGGAACTGAATTTCTTTACAGAAACGTCCATCTACCATTCTGTCTGCGCATGTCATGATATTGTATATACAATAGTTACTCTTTTTTTCCTGCCACTTCGCTGTTTAATGAATGCCATAGAGTTTAAAGGGATATTTGCCATTCTAATCCAGTACAGTTTTTGTTATATTCAGCGAATATTTCCTCGCTAAAAAATCCAGTTTTCCTACGCAGCCCTGGGTCTGTAAATGGAACACAAACAAAGCTGCTCGAAGTGTGCAACAGGTGGCGGTTGCGCTCATGCTTGAAGCAGTGGGAGAGAACGTAAACAAACACTGGTACATTCAAACATGCTTGACTCAATACGGGACTCTATAGTTGTGGAGATGGCTGAGAAACAGCCAATGAAGGAAAGGTCTGATGAATTGTGAAATAAGTTATATGACCAGGCGAGGGGAAGACCTGTGTTAACATCTGTGAGGGTCTGCTGGATAAATCCCCGTGATTTGAAAAGAATGAAAACCGATGCTGAGGTTGCTCTGTTTCTGCTGGACAGGTGAGTAACATTAGCTTTGCTGTTCCACATAAACGACAGGTCAGTACTGTCTGTCCGTCTGTTGTCATGTTTGTGATGATCCTAGCTGATTAGCTGTGTAGCTTTGTGGCAGCTGTCAGTGTGGTAGAGGAGGAATAGAAGGAGCGAGTGTGTGAACGGGTGCCCCGGTGAATAGAGAATATATCAGATCACCATAATCTAATATGGGAAGAAAAGTGGCCGTCACCAGGTATTTTCTAGCACGAATGGATAAAAAAAAAGTTAGCTTTGACTTAGGCCCTGGAGAGTCTCCCCTGTGCTTCCCAACTCTTGTCAGCCACTGTATTTTTGTAAAAACTATTTAAAATAGCTCACTAGTTTATTTGTTGTTGTTTTGGATGCTGTTTGTGTGCTTCCATGTTGTTCGTTTGATGTTTGTTCACCAATTGCACCAATCCTACCGAGACATAAACTAGACTCTGTGGCAAAGACTTCGGCTTAAAAAATATCTTGCTCTAATACATATTTAAATATTGACAGATGAGACTTCATATCGGGAGGAAATTGATAACTTAACCTAACTAGTTTCTGCTGCCGCACCATCAGACTGCAGAGCAGCTTTTTCTCCCAAGCTATCAGACAGTTGAGCTCAAATTCATCCTCAGCACTGCTCCATTGATTATAGTTTATTTTTAATTTAGTTAATTTTTAATTGCTTTTGTATGACTGTATATTGTCTGCTACATAGCAGAAGGGAGTCAAAAACTTAATTTCACTTTACAACCTGTTGTAATATGACAAATAAACCTATGTTCTACCATCTACTGCCAGCCTTGTTTCCAAAATGATGTCATCTCAGATCTAGCGTTTACTGTTTATTTACTATTTAAGATGACTCTAACTTTAACCAAGGTGTTGCCTTAACTTAACTATCATCACACGGGAGAGAGAGAGGGAGGGAGAAAGAGAATGATGCAAAGGTAAAAGATGTTTTTCTTTATAAGGCCCACTCTGTACATGTAAAATGAGACAGGTTAATCTCGTCTCTTGTCATTGTCCCAGTGCAGATCCATGCACGTCACTGATAAACCACAGAATTACACTGAATCATGACACGATCACCAGATAAAGTTAAGTTTCAGTTTCACTTATCTCGTTCTGTTCACACACACACTCTTTCTCACACGCCAACACATGCACACTTTGTCTTTCTATCTCTTGTTTTTAGCAGCTGGTCGGTTAACCTTTAAATATCAGTATCAACAAATTCATTTTCATCCTTAACGTAGACTCCTGATCACCTAAGTCTGATCCAAGTTCAACATTGGTGGGAGGAGTGTCACAAAGAATAGTCAGCTGAAGCATGTTGACCCATCCATCGTCAACCGCTTATCCTGTTTACAGGGTCGTGGGGCGTGCTGGAGCAAATCCCAGTTGACATCGGGCGAAAGACGGGGTACACCCTGGGCAGGTTGCCAGTCCATTGCAGGGCCACACATAAACAGACAACCAGTCACACTCACAACTAAGGACAATTTAAAGTCACCTATTTGTTTGTTGACGCAGTCAGATAAATCACCTCGTCAGTGTGTCCGTCTGAATGGGGTACCAGTCACAATCAGGTGGGGAGTTCTGCTCAGAAGTAAGTATGTATTGTGGTGTACCCCAAGGTTCAGTGCTGGGCCCCATTATTTTCTGTCTGTACATATAACATGGTGTATCCATCGCTACGCAAATGACACACAGTTATGTCTCATCTCCTCCTGATGATCTGAACCCTGTCCACAATCTTGTACAATTTTGGTTATTGGTTCAAACCACATAACCTCATTTCACATCTTACTCCACATTCTCTCAACAATACTTGTGACTGATGATGTGTTTTGTGTCTCTTACTCTTGCATATTCAATCTTGAGTGTACAGCAACCAGCGTAGATGTCAGCTCCGTTCAGAGCAGCTTTGGCCTTCTGAGCACACTGAACGGATTCAAACCTGGAGGAGTGGGGTCAAGGAGAGCACACTGCACATTCCAACACATACCATGTAAAGACACACAAATTCACACATTAGTAAGGATACTCCACCATGGCCTGAATTCCATTTCGTTTAAAGATGACGATCCTCAGCACACTGCCGATGGGATTACACACTGTGTACAGAACATCCTGGACCACAAAAGGAAACAAAGAAATTCAACACAATCTAAAAGTTTCTAATTTTCTAGTGAGTCTTGCCCTGCATGAAGAGCAGCCTCAGGCCACTGTGCAGTACCAAATCACAATAAGACAGAAATCTAACTCCATGCTGATACATCTTCAGGTCTTTTTTAGGGATCTGGTAGACTCAAAACTTGACAAGTATGGTACAAAACGTAATTCAGACATTGTTACACTCCAATCAATAAAAAACTTTACCACCAGGACAGATGACAATGCTATAATGCTATGCTATAGTAACCTTGTATTGTGTCACTACCTTCTAACAGATACAAAGAAGCACATTTTCTTCCCTCTTTTGACACAAAATCACTGCGTCAAGCAGGAAATTGCCAAACTGCGATTTCCTAAGAACATTTTTTGTAAAGCCTTCCTAAACCACTCATCCAGTCTCCCTCAAATTTGCTAAGAGGTGTTCTTGATTCCCACTGAGTAACAAACGTTGTAGCATGTAGTCTAAACTGACTTAAAAATGTAGTGAGTGGTGACATTGGCAAGCATTCTTGGATTGGTTACATCTGCCTTGATTCTTGATATAACATGATTTTGAATAAAGATTTGTGAACAGGTTACTGTAGTGTAGCTTGCATTATATTATTATTTCATTAAATTCAACCCATAAGGGTGCCACAAATAGCAAAATAGTAGAAACTTTAAACCAATTGCTTGGCTGCTATATGACCACAGTGTTTCCCCTACCATTGATTTGGTAAAATGACCCCCGCCCCACCTGAAAGCTGCAGAAATCTCGGACGAAATAGCAGAATTTGACAATAAAAATGCAAACTGTGAAATGCGGAATATAATGAAATCTGCCAAAATGTTGGTTATATCTCTAGAAATCAGGAGTCTTAATTAATTCATTAGTCATTTATCTGGCGCTTTTATCCAAAGTGACTTACAATTGCTATATATGTCAGTGGCCGCACAGCTCTGGAGCAACTAGGGGTTAAGTGTCTCGCTCAGGAACACATCACACACGGTGGGGGTGGGGCTTAGTGCCTTAAAGATGAAACCACATCAGCAGATGCAAGACACAAACTCATTGTAGACTTTGTGGTTGTGTGGGCAGATTCAGATATTCCGTTAAAACAGTCCGTCCGGTCAAGCTTTGTAAACAAAGAGGAGCGTTGCCCATGTGAGAGTAGCAACAATTCACAATACATGTATTGCAGCAATGAATTCATTGTGAATTGTCCCCTAATAAATAGTATTATAGTATTTTAATATCCTACTGTTGCAACACATTTAATCTGAATTGTCCACATAAATTTGAATATTTCTATATTGCATTAAACATCATTCAATTCATTGATATTGAGTCAATATGTCCATCTATCCATTGTCAACCGCTTATGCGTACAGGGTCGCGGGGGGGCTGGAGCCAATCCCAGCTGAGCCAATCCCTGAGAACCCACGCAGGCACGGGGAGAACATGCAAACTCCACACACTCCACCTTCTTGCTGTGAGGCGACAGTGCTAACCACTGTACCCCTGATTCAATATGTAATATTTCTTATTGAATTTATGAAATTTTATTCATCCACCATGATTACACACTCTTTTAAAATGGATTTCATAGGACCCTAGTTTACAAATACAAATAGTTTTGTAAATGTTGAGGATGATTGCAGAAATGTACCAAAGCGACTGAGAAAAACTGCATTCAGCAATTTAGTTCCTGAAATGTTAGTGCTGCAACACAGTTTTTCTCAGTTGTTCACACAATAACACTGGTACGTGAGACACAATGACCACAACCTGTAATAGAAGTACCAACCACTTGAACCAATTCTGCTAAAATGCAAGCACATTTTCTGCTTTACACTCAGCTTGCAGTTTTACAGTAAAACCAATTTCATAAAACTACACACATTTCTGCACTCTGTATATGCACATATACAGAGTTTTGCAGGTGGTGACATAGTAATGAGAAAAGAGTTCCTGGATTTTGGAGAAAGTAGTTACTGAATGCATGTGTGAAAGCAATGAAAAATGATTCACAGTTTGGTCCACATACACTTCTGCTTCGCTCAATTGAAAAAAACTTTAAATGTAGTCAGAAATGGCAGAGAACTGAAGCTCCATATCAGTCCATTACAATGAAGCTTTATTTTGTTGTCATTATAATGCAGTGCAAACTGATTTGCTCTTGTGGCTAGTAAGATCATGCCAATAATCAACAAAAATGTGACACAATATCAAATGACCAAAAGTATAATATACATGCAGCTGTTTTTAAAGGTGCATTCTAATTGTATTTATAATGAGTTTTCCACTAATGATTTGAAAAAAAAAGTCCACACAGACGCCACTGTGTGTGTTTACCGTGGTTATGGGGTACAGGGGGTTCTGTATGGACAGCAGGAGGACCTTGTTGCCACTGTTGGGGTTGTCAGCGTTGGTCGGCCTGGTGATTCTCTTGGATGTGGAGTAATTAAAGTACGCCTGTTGGCCTAATGAACAGATGGATGAAAATATAAACACATACAGTATGCTACATAAAAGCATGTGTAAGGCTTTACAGTGATCCAACCTGCGATGTATACAGGCTCCTTGGCTCCACAGGAAACACAGCGGTCAGCACTCTCCACTGCAGAGAACTCCACAAGTGCCTGACGCTTGAATGGCATCATCATCACATAACTGAGAACACACACAAGCAAACATTAAGATAGGACATACACATGCTATTCACTCAAATCTCTTCCACCTAACGGACAGCCAGCCATACTGCAGGTCCTCCACTCTTTGGCAACATCTCAGAACAGATGATTGTGTTTCAATCCTCAGTACTCCATTCTCAACAGATCTGATAAGAATGGGTCAGTCTTCTCAACCCCAGTAAGAAGGTAAAGGAGTTCACGACCTGCTTTTCATTAAAGCCAAAAGTAATGAATGATGAAACAGTGAGCGATAAGGCCTTTTAAAGAACCTGCCAAATCAGTGCAATACGATAATACCTATGTTTATGTGTTTGTGTGTGTGTGTCCTTCACAGAAAGCTTTTCTCTGCAGCTCCATTCAGGTGAATGAGAAGTTAATGAATACTGCATATTGCAGGGAGTGTAAATAATGGAGAAGTCGTTTAGAGTGGAAACTGCGGTATCACAAAATGTTTACTTCAATTATTCAGCATCTGTAACTCTTTACACTAACCCTACTGGAAGTTTATTGCACCAGTCACTTGGTATCTGTGAACTGTGCTTGCATTTTTTCCTTCATGTGTCCCTGTCCGATGGTCTGGCAGTGGCTTTAAGTTTTCCCACAGAGAGACATGAGATAGAGGTAAAATGTAAAGTACAACTGTAGCATTTCTTGTTGTCCATGCAGACACCATGAGACACAAACACCAACCAACAACAACCTGACACTGAAAGCCACTGACTGCCTTATGTACCCTCCCTGGAGCTCTTAAGCAGGTGCTTTGGCCTTTCGCACTATTTTGCCTCCGCCCCTTCCTGAGGAGACACCTAGGAAGAGGTGAGTACTGACACTGTCTGACTTAAGTGTTTGAGTTAATTTGATAACAGACTAGAAACAAACCAACACTAAGTCCTGAACCGTGACTACTACTGGCTGAGGTTTCTTTTTACACAGGCAGGATGGTTCAATTGCTGTTCAATTGCTTGTTAAACATACATTTGGCGCACAATTGCCCCCCGTCTATGCAAATGAGCCTCAATGCACAAAAATGTCCACCACACCAGCGCTAACAGCCACACACAGAGTGAAATTATAAGCATCTTCATAGAGCTGATGGTAACTTTAGCGCATTTGTAAGAAGTGTCACACCAAGTGCTGTCAACACTGTGTTGGATGGCTTATGTGTCACTAGGGCTGTGCGATATGACAAAAAATTCTGATCCCGTATAGGTCATTTCATATTCCAATAACGATTTATAACCTGATATTGAACATTGTTTGTAAATTCAATGAAATATCATGAGTTACTGTTGGAATTTCTAACAGTAACTCATAGTAACATAACGATATAATTTTCTTTGTGGGGTTCATCAATGGTGATAAATGATTCAAATTATATGTTTTATAAACATTTAGAGTTATATTAGTTAGAGTTAAAGTTAATATTTCATTAAAGTTAGTAGATGTAGCATTCCTTGAGATTTAGCAAAAAAATGTGTCTGATCAGTATGCACAGCAAAGTGTCTGAAAAGAACCTTAAGAGGTGGATGCATAATCTTTGATTTCAAGACCAAATAGAAAAAAAAAAAAAACAAGTTGTTTTTCAGTTTTTCAGTTTTAAAACCAAAATGGAAAAACTGTCAACAAAAAAATAGACATTTGTTTTTGTTTTCTGTTTTAAACCCAAACGGAAAAACAAAGCAGCTGCGTTTTGTTCTATCTATGGCTGGTGTTGTATCACTACTGGGTTTTCAAACTAACTGGCAGCTGTACAAGTGTGCCTGTTGTTTGCAACCGCTGTGGTCTGCCTCCATCCCCAGATTGGTCACACTGTCAAAACATATAGGCTATTTCTTTTCAAGTCACATTGCATCTCATAGTGACTGTGGCGAATAGGTTTGTAGAAGTGAGCACTACACGAAAAAAAAAAAATTAAAGAAAATGTAGGCTACTTTTTTGTAAGATCGCGCCAAGCTGGGTTCGAACTCACTGGAGCAAAAACATTTTGTTGTGGCTTGTTGCATTACATAAATAAGGAGCTTCAGCGTTGATCCAGCCAGGGGGAATGATCACCGTCCGTCCGCAGTGCACTGGGTCACTCCTCTCCCTGGCCCTGTACGCTCCCTCTAGCTGGATGAACTCCAACGCTTCGGGTTTTTGCATGACCCATGTGCTACTGCAGCTGGAGGCTCTCCGCAGCACCGTGCAACTTTCTAAATTCTTCCATCTCATGAAGAAAATAAATGTCAGGTCGAAACAGTGTAGAGAGGCTGCTGCAGCTGTTGTGTCTTCTCTAAAACTAATTGTAGCAAAATGCCTACATATAATAATAATAATAATAATAATAATAATAATAATAATAATAATAGGCATAAATGATGCCTGAAATTAATTAATAAAAGACATCTTTATTTGCCATTAAGTGCTCGTCCATACCACGCTTTAAAGCAGAGCTTTATTCCAAATGAGCCCCCTATGGTGTATTAGGCTAATTAGCATATATTTAAATAATGAACGAAAATTACCCAAACATCTTAATCCGTGCATGATTCATTAATATACAGGTCGCCAAAATAACAGTTCTTGTTTGCTGTGTACCATTGGATGTACTGGCAACTATCACTGAATTACTTTGATACTGAAGAAATCTTAAAAAGCAGAAGATTCTCAGGCGTTCCTGTTCCTGTCCCAGTTACAAACTGAACGTTGAGCTTCCTGTTTTTCTAACTAAAAACCCACTTATGTTCAAGCTCATCTTAATTACATTTAACCAGGCACCAGTGTATCTGCTGCAGGTTTATCAAGTGTAACACACAAAGCTACACAAATGGGACATTAAATATCAAAATCAATATTTTTCCGTTTTGGTTTTAAAACCGACCGAATTGGCAAATTTTTTGTTTTTTTCCGATTCGGTTTTGAAACGAAATAATCAAAGAACGAACCATACACGGATTAAAATTCGGCGGAACAAATGATGAAGGCTACCTGCCTAGATTTGCATCCACCTGTTTTATCAACATAAATGAGCGTTACCTTGGGCGAGGTGCATGCACGCGTGCAGAGAATTCTGCACAACACCGGTGTAAATGACGTAGCCTATCAAACAACCGACACCAACATCTGAAGTCTGTCTCATCAGACCAGGCAAGGTTTTTCCAATCTTCTATTTTCCAGTTTCCTGTTCTTAGCTGACAGGAGTGGCACCCGGTGTGGTCTTCTGCTGGTGTAGCCAATCTGCTTCTGTAAACCCTAGAGATGGTTGGTCGTGAAAACCCCAGTATATCAGCAGTTTCTGAAATACTCAGAGCAGCCCGTCTGGCACCAACAACCATACCACACATTCAAAGTCACTTAAATCCCCTTTCTTCCCCATTCTGATGCTCAGTTTGAACGTCAGCAGGTTGTCTTGACCACATCTGCAAGCATACAGTAAATGCTTTGAGTTGCTGCCATGTGATTGGCTGATTAGCTATTTGTGTTAAATGCATATAAATAGAACCCGAGCGAAGAGGCACTGAGGCCCTATTTGTTGCTGCAGTTAGAGGTGCATTTCACCCTTTGTGGATGCTTTGAGAAGTACACGTTTTCTTTTTGTCTTATTTGTGCAGGTTAAGTGGCCGCAAAAAACACAAAATCCTTTTGTAAATTCACCCATTAGTTGCACACACACAAACACTTCCACACACACACTGTCTCACCATATTGGTCCAAACTTCTCCAGGGCATCTATCAGGTCTGCTTCCACCACTGCCTCACACAGACCTCTGACGTGGACCACAGGGCTGGGAGAGATCCGATGGGAGTCATCGCCATTATCCTGCAATACATAAAGTCAACAACAGTTACAGACTATGGCTGTATTCACATCAAGCTGATCTATAGCGTGCTGCAGTTGCACACCTTAGGTTGCACACAGAGGTCTCTGGCCAAAGACTGCAGGGTCATGGGGCAGAAAAGCTGGACATAGCACAACTTTAGTCACAATGAAATGCGATGTCATACAGCAAAGTGCAACGTTGCCAATCAAATACATCCAAGTGCACATTTCTGATAGATACTTCAGAACATCATTCTCCTGTTGCCACTGCTTTAAAATTGGTTGTAAATTCTTATTGTCTCATCGTATCATAAAACAGCTGTGCATTGTTTTAGCATCTGATACCGTAATCTGTTACTGAAACTGGACTCCCTTCATCATATTACATCTTCCCACCAGCATCTGACATAACGTGCACCTTATGTTTTAGTTTTCTTCAATGCAGCGCTGTTTCCAGCTGAACGCCTGCTCTGTCACCAGCAGCCGGGTAACATTAAAAAACCTTTAGATTATGTGACACTAAAGGCTCTGGTTATGTAATAATTCACTGCTGATGCATTTCTAACCAGAAAAGATTAAAGACTGATATGAGCATGTACAGTGAAGTTACAACAAATTCCTTTTTCTTGGCGAAGCATCCAACTTCTATGCCATGGATAGGCTGTTAACCGGAAACTCACAATCTTCACAACGTAGCATCATCAATATGTTAAGGCAAAACCATATGACATGTACATTTTCACCACCCTTGAATTTTGTGCACAGTTTGGTGAGTTTTTGATCATGTTTAGGCTGCCAAAAATGCTATTCATTTTGGAGAAAGAAAGAAAGAAAGAATTCCTTCAGATTCAATAGGGTCCTCAGGATTTGGCATAAACAACATGAATCCATGGATCCATCCTGCCTTGTGTCAACGGTTCAGGCTAGGGCTGCACGATATTGGAAAAAACTAACATTGCAATATTGATCTTTTCTGCGATATATATTGTGATATGAAAAAAGACAGGAAGTTTCACCAAATGACTTCAGTTACTCTATTTGAAAATAAATGAGTATCCTAAAAGAATTAATGAACTGATCAAGAATAATATTGGGATTGCTAGCTCACTGTGCATACAGAGCCTGCTCATCACTCACTAGTTACAAACTGTGTTTCCAAGATCTCTTAAATCGGAGTAAATGACGTTACATCAGACAAACTTCTCTTGTTGATTAGACATGGAAAATGAGAACTGTCTACGTTTTTACCTTTTCTATCAAGCAGAAAAAAAGTTGAGGTGGTTGAGTTAATTTGACTTGCTTTATATTGCACTGTTCTGCAAAGTGACTATTGCGCAAAAGCACATTGCGATGACGACGCTCCGGCGATATATTGAGCAGCCCTAGTTCAGGCTGCTGCTGCTGCTGCTGCAATGGTGTGGAGAATATTTTCGTGGCACACATTACACCCCTTATTACCAGCATGGTTTAAACACCATAGCCTACCTGAGTATTGTGGCTGACATGTTGCTGAATGTGCGTCCCTTTATGGCCACACTTTCTTCTTCTTCTACTCTTCTTCTGTTTCCAGCCCAATAACACACCAACTCACAAAGCATGCATGAAGCTGCTTCCACCACCCAGACTGAGTTTGGTGAACTCCAGAGTCCTCCACAGTCACCATAGAGCACCTTAGGGAGGCGGTGGAATGGGAGATCTACAGCATGGATGTTATCATCACCACCATGCAACGCTGTGTGACTGTTGCTTGATTGCTCTTAGTTTTAAGTTTTAATGCCCTTTTTAAACATGATATCTGTGGATGGTCACCGCGCCTTGATTATGCCATACTTCAACAGACCTAACAGCTCAGCAGTCTGTAAATGTAAAACGAGGTTTTAGCTTTATAAGGCCGGCAGTGCCTTATATCGGGTATTGTGTCTTCTCCTCGGTAACCAACCAGTAGCAATTCTGACAAAACTGTGGTCCTTTGTGTCTGTCTGTCTGTCTGTACTTGTATTTTATCCTGTATGCAAAGCACTTCGTAACGGTGTGTTTTTAAAAATTGCTTTATAAAATAAAAAATAAATATATATATATATATATATAAAAATTTAATTTCACTGACAAGATGCACAGGTACCCCGAATTGCTCTGACGATTCCTGCTTGCCCTAGACCAGAGCTGCTAAAGATTGCACTTCTGAATATCAGATCCCTGTCTAATACAAGTTTTTATATTAATGATTTTACCTCTAAACACCGTCTTTGTTTTTTATTTTTAACCAAATGCTGGCTTTCCCTTAACGGTCTCTGCCATATTATTAGACTCTTCCCCTCCAAATTACAGCTGTCTTTACTCATGTAGACAAGACAAAAGAGCTGTAGGAGCTTCCAGTATCTGTGTGTTGTTTTGGAGGCGTGTTAAGCTTTAAATACTTTTTATTTACCCAGTACATACTAACTGTGACTATTTAATAACACAACACCAACATTTCATCTGAGTCTTCTGATTTTATGTTGATCGTTCTCACCAGTTATGATAGGATCATTTTACTTGACAGTTTTAACTTTCATGTCAACAACATTGCTAATTCAAAGGGTCCCTCTTTAGATGTTTTGGCCTGTTTGGTCTTGTGCAGCATGAAAAGAGGGCCAACCGCATCCATGGGAATACGTTATCACAAGGGGTATCGAAATACATGTCTCTAATAAGACTGATGTCCCCATTTCTGACAATTTCTGTTTTTTTTTTAATACCACTATGTCCGGGTCAACAGTGAAATGAGACTGTTGTTGTAAAGTGAACTCTTGATGACGAGGCAAGGACTAGGTTTTTAGATATTGTGAAAAATGCCATCCACTGCTTGCTCAGCTGATGGTCTTGTGCACAAATAACAACTGATCTTGGTCTTCTTTTGACACAGCTGCTCATCTAAGAATTAAAAAACATGAAGTACCCCACAAATTACCTTGGAAAACTGCTGCTATTTATCAGTTAAAAAGAAACGCGAGAGACAGTGGAAGAAAAGTAAAAAAACATCAACTCTTTGTGATCTACTAATCTGTGCGTCTAACATGACATCCTCTAGTTTTAGTTTCAACAGTTGATGAAATTGGTGTCACCATCAACAAAATGAAGTCATCATGTGCACTACACCCCGTTTACACCACACTATTTAAATTCAGCTTCCTGTGCATCTCTGCAATCAGGGACTTTCCCATCTATAATAAAAACAACAAAATAGCAAGTACTATAACTAACATTAGCTAAGTTGTATGTTAGCTGCAAAGCTAACATGCAAATCATGGCTGGACTGTGACTAAAAGTGAGCAATATCTAAAACATACATTTTCAATGCACGTTTTCATCTGTAAGAATGTATAAATTTGAATGTCCACACTGGCTTTGCTGCAGAATGTAGAAATCAGACAAATCTGGCGTGTTATCTTTAAATAAATGTAAATTAAATAGTTCGTTGTGAGTATTGTTGTGGTTATACCAATCTAGCAAATAAAATAATTACCTGACCTTGAATACTGTGTTCCTCAAGGAAGCATTCATGGTCCTGTTCTTTTGTCTTTATATATGCTCCCTCTGGGCAACATAATTAGTCACCATAATATCAAATATCACTGTTATGCTGATGATACACAACTTTATATCTCTGTTTCACCAGAAAACCCCAGATCTTTAAATACTTTTTAAACTTTCTCACTGATATTAACATGTGGATGAGTAAAAATTATATTCTTTTAAATGAAATTTAACTCTAGAAATTCTACTTGTTGGTCCAAAAGCAGAGGCAGGGACTTGAGTGAGTGTTTGCCAGCCTGTCTAAGCAAATCAAAACACATGTTACAGATCAGGGAATTGTTTTAGACTCTAATCTTAATTTCATTAGTTAATAATTCATTATTTAACAAGGTCACAAAAACATATTTTCATTTCAGGAATATTGTCAAAGTTAGACCATTTAATTTTTTTTGCTGAAATGCTGATAGGTGCTTTTATTACAAGCCACTATTGCAACTCTTTACTGGTCTCCCTAAAAAAATATAATTCAGCCAGGAGTTGCTTGTATCAATGCACAGGCTACCTGTACCTTACTTTTGTCCAAAACCTTACATACATAATGTATCACCCTCAATTATCAGCGACTACCTCTCATTTTGCCTTTCTGTTAGTTTCCCACAAGAAATGTGGTGAGGCTGCTTTCTGGGTTTATGGCCCTAAAGTGTCCACCTCCCCCTGGATCTTAGAACAGCTAACTCCCTTGGTATTTCAAAAAAGACATTACAGACCTATCGCTTTAAATTGGTGTTTAATTTGGATTGACTGTTTTTATTAGTTTATTCTGTTGCCTTTGCTATTTATCATTGATATATTTACCGATTGACATTCTGATCTTGTATTGTTAAGCACTTTGGGCTGCAACTGTGCATGAAATATGTGTCAGGCCGTGCTGGCAAAAGCCCACGTTGAAACACAATAAGGCATTTTTGGAAAGTCAGTTATCAATATGGAGTATTCTTGAGGACTCAGGACATGGACAAGAAGACAGGAAAGAGAGAGAGAAAAAGAAAGAGAGTGAGAATGAGAGAGAGTTCTAGTCAAATTATCACACTTCTAATTGTTTCTCTCCCTCAGATATTCTGTCTCTTTTAAACTTTAATCTCTTCCCTCGTATGCTTCTCACTCTACTTTTATCATCCATCCCTTCCCCCATCTTCCCTCTTTTTGTCGTTCTCTTTCACATTGACATTCCTTTTAGTCTATTTATAGAGGCAGATGGCTCATCTGAGTGTTGGGAGAGGAAAAATGGCATGAGACTAACTTCCCCCTGTTGACAAGGCTGCTGGCTTCTCCGCATATTTTCTGTACACACAAGGCACGTCCATTGTGCATGTTTTAAAAAGGACAACACCTAGCATTCACATTACTTATCAGTGTGTTCAGTCAATTATCCACAGTTGTAAACTGAGTACTGTGATACAGTGCTGATAAAACTTTCTAGATAG